TTTAAAATGTTTATTTTCTAATTTTTTTTGTTGTTTTAAATGCAGTTCATTTTATTTATTCATCTTGCAATTAGCAACTTTCCTAAACTAACTTTTTTTTTTTTTTTTTTTTTGAGATAGGGTCTCATTCTGTCACCCAGGCTGGAGTGCAGTGTCACGATCATGGCTCACTACAGCCTCAACCTCCCTGGGCTCGGGTGATCCTCCCATATCAGCCTCTTGAGTAGCTAGGACCGCAGGCAGGTGCCACCATGCCCAGCTAATTTTTTGATTTTTTTGTAGAGATGGGGTTTCGCTATGTAGCCCAGGTTGGTCTCAAACTCCTGAGCTCAAGTGATCTGCCAGCCTCAGCCTCCGCCTCCCAAAGTACTAGGACTGCAGGCCTAAGCCACTGTGTCCAGCCTAAACTCACTTATTAGTTCTATTAATATATCTATAGATTCTTTTGGATTTCATGGTACATGATTACATCATACGAAAATAATACATTGTATTTTTTCTATTTCAGTCATTTCTCTCCCCTAGCACTGGCTAGAACCTTTAGTACAGTGTAGAATTAGAAGTGGCAATAGTGACCATCAACATACAGTTCCATTCTCAAAGGACAAGCTTTCAACATCTCTCCAATTGCTTTATGAGTGTGTGTGTGTGTGTTAGCTACCATTTATTAGATTAAGAAATTCCTTGGCTGGGTGCTGTGCTTACACCTGTAATCCCAGCACTTTGGGAGGCCCAGGGGGGCAGATCACTTGAGACCAGGAATTTAAGACCAGCCTAGGCAACATGGTGAAACCCCATCTCTATTCAAAAATACAAAAATGTGCCAGGTGTGGTGGCGCATGCCTGCAATGCCAACTACTCTGGCTGAGGCAAGGGAATCAGTTGAACCCAGGAGGCAGAGGTTGCAGTGAGCCAAGATCGCACCACTGCTCTCCAGCCTGGATGACAGAGTGAGACTGTCTCAAAAAACAAAACAAAGCAAAACAAAACAAAACAAAAAGAAAAAAGAAATTCCTTTAGTTTGCTAAGAGTTTTTTTTTTTTTCCAATCATGAATGGATGTTGAATTTTTAAAGATTTTTCTGAATCTTTGAGATGATAATTTTTCTACTTTATCCTATTAATAAATGTGGCTAATTACATTAAGTGGTAAACCAACATATTTCTGGAATAAACGTAATTTACTTGTGCTGTATTATTTTGTCAAATAATTATTAAATTATTTTATTATTAAATTGCCAGATCCTGTTTGCTAATATTTTGTTTAGGATTTTTAAATTCATGTAATCTGGGCAATTGGTTATAATTTTCCTTTCTCATAGTTTCTTCAAATCTTGGCTTCACAAAATGAGTTAGATTTCATTTTCTCTGCTTTTATTCTCTAGGTAAATTTACACATGCTGATTTTTTTCTTTCTTAAGTGTAAAGTGAAATTCACCAGTAAAGGCACATTGGCCTAGAGTTTTCTCTGGAGAGACGTCTTTAAATTCAATTCCACATATAGAATTTTTAAATAATTTTATTTATTTTGCCCATTTTGGTAGATTATAGTTTTCCCAGTATTTGTCCATGTGATCTAACTTTGAAATGTCTTAACATCAAATTGTTCACAATATCATTTTACCATTTTAATGTCTACAGAGGTGTTCCTTTTCTTATTCCTTACATTGCTTTCTTGGTGCCTTCTCCCCTTTTTTCTTTTGATTAGTCTCATCAGGGATTTATCAATTTTACTAGTCTTTTAAAAGTACCAAATTTTTGGCCTTTTTGGTGGTCTCTATTATTTATTCATTTTTTATTTCATCAATTACTATTACATTTAGTATTTTCTTCTGTACTTTTTAGGTTAATTTGTTCTTTTCCTGACTTCTTGAGATGGATAAGTCTTAGAGTGTCGACCACTCTCTTTTCTATTTATTCCAGCCTGGGCGACAGAGCGAGACTCCATCTTAAAAAAAAAAAAAAAA